AGTGAATGCATTATAATGTATTAAATATTTCTACTTTGAAGATCCCAAGGAAAAGATTAAATTTAGTTCTTTTGGGGCCGACGTCTCCACATCTAAACCATTACCCCCCCCCCCCCCCCCCCCCAACAAGGAGGCCATGGGTGCCAAAGGTGGAATTGCTTTTTTCAACTCGCTGAATTTGTTGTATTTGCTTTGAATGCCCAAGGACGATGCATTACGGCAACGCATGCGGGAGAAGGGAAAAAAGAGAAAGGAAGATGAGGTTGTGATGAGTGAGATGGAGAGAACGGGCGAGTAAACAATAGTGTCTATCTGAGATTTCGAGGCTCCGGGTGGCTCCGCGGTTCGCTATGGCCTCGACCAACCTCGTCTCCGTACAGTCTCAAGGCCCGGTTGCAGTCCATCCACACACACACACACATACACACACACAAATACACTCATACACACATGCATCGAGAGAGCTATTGCCATGGGAACCAACCCCTCTAGGACTATTGCCTCCTCAGGAGAATAATAGGCACCAATCTTTCTCAACCTCTCTCTTCCATTGTCAGTTTCTCTCTTATTTTTTTCCCGCTGTAAGCCCAAACCCCTCCTCATATCCAGGACCGGCTCCCTCTTTCCCCTCCTCCTTCCTCCCTTTCTCCCTTTCTCCCCCACTCCTCCATGTGCAGGAGCAAACACTGGCATCCTCCTGTTCCCCTCCTCTCCCCTCTGCATGTCTTTGACAGTCATGAGTTAGATTTGTTATGCATAATCTATCCACGCTGGGATTTGTACAGTTCTCACAAGTGAAAAGCAAAATATTATCTCGACTCAAGCCGCACAAACACCGCGTTGGATGTTTTCAAGCTGCAGCCAAAGAAACACGATGACAGAGGGATTGTTTGTCATTTCATGAAAGCAGGAGAAAGAGAGAGAGAGAGAGAGACTTGGTTAAAAATAGAAAATTCTCCGGTTGCCCTCTTTGTATTTTTTCTCTGAAACATGGAGGAGTTTGAAGAGATTCTCTCTGAGTGACTCATTGCTTTCTGTGAACTTGCTCCAGGCAGGTCATTTTTTATTAAAGCCAGCCGAAGCCAAGTTCTTAGGTTTTCAGACACCGTATCGATATGTCCGTGTTCAACATTAGCCGATCAATACTGCTGCAATTTTCTTGACCACCCATTAAAACAAGAGTCCATTTGCCTTATAGAAATATCAAGGGGGATGGGGTTTTTTGGTTTTTTTTCCTCTTTGTCTCGGCTACGAGGCTAAGCTACTACACGACCGGCTGAATATTGGCTCTTTTGTCTTCCGTCTTGCCTGGAGGATTCATCCTAGGATGCCGTCTCAGGTCTAGGGCAATGCCAGAGGCTTGAATAACTTTAGTATCTTCAAAAGCACAAGATCACTGTCACCTAACAGGGGAGCGAGGGAAAATAATCTTTGCCCGAGATCTTGTAACTGAACATTTCAGGAGGAAAAAAATGTGCGACTTGCAGCGGAGGCTGCAATCAAGATGACACCCTGTCATGACAACTGCAAAACTCACACCTTATCTAGCAGTGTGCCAGTCAGCCATGTTTACTTCCTACGGTTTATATTACTGCAAAATTGGAACAAATTACACCAAACATCTCTAAAATAGAGATAACTCTGCCAACCAAATACTTATATGTTGTCATTATCTAATTTTTTACTAATTTTTGATTTTGCAGGAGTAAAAGTCACCTTCCAGCAACTTTTTTTTTTAGGAATTAAATCCTTCATATGTTTGTATTTCATCATGTCCCCAATGTGAAGCTTGTTTGAGTCCCTGGCATCAAACAGGCGGAGCGTGAAATGAGAGTAGAATGAAATTTAGATGGTTTAAAAATAACTACCTTTCAATTAGATGTACCCTAAATTTTTACCAGAGTATAAAATGTTCTCGTATTTTGTTGAGTCCGTCTGTGGGTGTTTGTCTATACTTACGGAGTGGAGAGGAGTACACATTTTGGTTCTCACCAGCCAAGGTTTGCCAATTACCTTAATCAAATTTCACACCTCACAGGGGGATTCACTGTGCCCGGATCAGATACCAAACGTAAGTTGATTAAAATACATGTTTGCTAAAAGACTACAGAGAAAGAAAATCAACATTGGCTCAGAAAACACATGAGCTGATGGTGGAAGGAAATGATTCAGAAAATAAACGAGTATAACTCTTAATCACGACTGCGACTGTTGTAAACATGTTTGGACTGATTTTAAAGGGTCGCTCCACCAAAACTACACTAACAATATCTTCTCACATACTTTCTGAAGATTTGTACATTAGCAGGAATATAGCACACAATGGAAGTTTATTTGTTCTGTTTATTTAAATGTGGAAGGGCAATACAAATATTTCGTCACTAAAATCAATGAATAATTGTGATAAATGATTGCCATCATTGATCAAAATAATAACGTTGGCCATACCAAGCAGTGGTGTGAAGTGGTTATTTAATAGTCAGGAAAGACTGGAGACGCCATCCAGTTGCATCCTGGGAAGTGTAGGATCCGGTGGTTTAGGAGCTTGAACCATAGAGACTAACAGTCAGGATATTTGGCCTCTGCTGCTTCAGCTCTGCCTCTTGCAGGTCCCCCAACTTAATGGCGGTGCAGTATTAAATCCGTGGAGTGTCCCTTTTAAATGCTACCGTGTTATTGATAAAGGGACATGACTTTCTCACTTTCTAATATGACATCAAGTCTGGAGTTATAAATGTTATTAAAGTCACGAATGAAGAGTCATGACTTTAGCACTTTCTAATAAGCCATCGCCGAACATTAGTAAGTCATTTTCGGTTATAAATGAGTTTTTATTAAAAAGCTTTTACCATAATACATTAAGTCTACAGTTGTAAAGGTTAATGACTTGGTAATAAATGGATTGTTGGTCCTGAAGCCATGAATGGTCCATTAGAGGGGTCTTCCTGCTGAGCTAAGCTAGCTAAAATGATAAAGAAAGGAAAATTGGTGTTGTTATTTATGGCCTTTGGCTATATATATATATATAAGCTGTAATACATGATGGAGTCACTAGGTAATTCATTATAAAGGGTGCCTTATTAGATGGTGAAATTCCATTCACTTCCATTGTGTTGCTTGGCAGCAGAGGTCTCTGATACAGATATCTCAAATGTGAGCAATTCTGATCAAAACTGTCCGGTTCTCAACGTCACATTGTAGCGAAGCCCAAACCACAATCACTTCCACATTTCCAACAGCCAAGCGGAAGAGCAGCCAATGTATGATGCAGCCATATGGGGTTAGAGTGTTTTCCATTCTGTGTGTGTGTGTTTTAAGTGTGTGTGTGTATGCGTGTGTCTATGTGCTCATGTCATGTATGTGCAGCTTAAATGCACGCTCACGAGTGGTACTGCATGTGTTCTTTGCACGTCATACGTATTCAGCACACTCTTTGATATACAAACTCGACATAGAGTTCAGCACAGGGCTGTTTTTCTTCCCCTGTGCAGGTGTGTGTTTGTGTGTAATGTGTGCAGTTACAGTGTGCTTTTGTTTGTGAAAATGTCTTTTTCTTTTTTATTTGTGGATTTTGTACGTCATGCGTTCAACATCTGATGGTGTCTTTTTGTTTTGTATGTTTGGAAGGCTTCACGTGCATGTGTGTGTGTGTGTGTGTGCGAATTTGTGCAGCCTGTATCATGTTTCAGTGTAGTTGCAGGGCCGCCCACATGCATTTTTTTGGTGATGCCTCTCAATGTGTGTATGCTATCCTCGCATGTGTATGTGTGTGTGTGTCTGTCCGGACTTGTACATGTATCTTTGTGAGGACCAATTTGAATTTTAGCCCTTCAGAGTGAGGATATTTGTGGAAAGTGAGGACATTTTGGCCATTCCTCACTTCTTCAAAGGCCTGTTAGAGGGTTCAGCCTTGATTTTAAGGTTCAGGATAGAAAACAGTTTAGGTTAGGCATTTAATTGTGATGGTTACGATAAAAGTAATGGGACTGCATTATGTCAATGAGTGTCCTCACAAAGATAGAAGTAGAAGGATGTGTGTGTGTGAGAAACAGACTGAGACAGAGGCAACTCCTGACCCACCAACACTGTAGAGCTAACGCAGCCCGACGCTCCACAGCTCACCAGCTGGAACTAATTAACAGCAGTTCAGTCAGACTGAGCTCTCTCACTCACTTTCTCTCTCTCTTACACACACACACACACACACACTTTTCCCCTCTTCCCCCGGCTTTTCCTCTCTCTCATGCCCTCGTCTTCCTCCTCCCTGACATCCCCCCCCGCCCTTCCTTCACCTCCTGCCATCGCTCAACTTGTTTTCCCCTTTAAACCTCCTCCTGCACGCACGCTTGGATGAACTCGTGTACCGGAGCACATAGTCGCAGCATGTAAACATCCACTTGTACAGACAGACACGGATATATAGGCACGCATGCTGCACACACACACACGCACACACACACACCCACACACACACGCGCGCGCATACACACACACACGGGGAAACCCATACTTTTAACCTTCATCCGTACAGTATAGCTCACAAATCACTCTCACCTCACCAGTGGGAGTGGCGGGATACTGTACGCCAGACACATCTTGAAACACGGTCAGGGTCTATGATTTGATCCAGGTAGACATTTTTGACATTCTCAGCGCCGCTCTGTACCATCCATCCCGCATGTGACTTCAAAACTACCAGACCTATTGATGTGCATGATGAACGGCCAGAGTGAGTGCGTTGCTTTGCGACCATGTGAATGTGTGTGTGTGTGTGTGTGGTAGCAATGGATTCAGAGCTTGTTGTTGAACACACTTCTCCGAAGCCAAACTTGTGGCTTGTGGCGTCGTCTCTAATGAATCAACCCTCTGTGGTGAAACAATTGCCACCATGCATTTCAAGTTTACTGAGAGACTGTATATACGCTCGCACATCTGTTCCTGAAGTTCAAATTCATACACATGTTGAGGAGCTCTCGCACAAGCAGGGAAGCAAAACGTACCTGTTTTTTGCGAATCTCGTTGAAAAAGTTCACTGCTCGGACGCGGAGGCAGCAACCGGGGCAGCAGAGAAACGCATTCTACTGGGAAGGAGGGATGGAGGACGGGTTCAGATCCTGTCCGGCAAGCTCATTGAGGAGGCTGCTTGGCTTGGAGGAAACACAATCCTCCGGGCGGGCAACAGAGCAACCAGAGCGTCTGCAGGCTTCAGCAGCAGCAGCGGCAGATCCAGCGGTTTGCTTCGTCTTCCCCCTCTCCACCTAACGGAGCTCAAACACACTTGTAAGCTCAGTGTGTCTAGGTCATGCTCAAAGTATGCCTGTATGCCGATGTTCTGCAAGCTCAGGGAAACCACATCCTGTCACATATTTACCTCCCTCCTCTGACCCCCTTCCCTTTTCAGTCTATCTTTCTATGCGCGCTCTCTCTCTCTCTGTCTCTTTTCTTGTGTCTTTCTCTCGCTCCCCGGTGATTGTCTGAAGCAACTGAGCGCTCTGACCCAGCGTCTGTTCTGCACAGCCTCTCTGCCTCTCTGCCTCTCTGCCTGTCTCTCCGGCAGCCGCACCAGTTCCACTCGGCTGACTGAAGAATCCATCTGAGGAGAGGAGAGGGGAGGGGAGGGGGAGGGAGAGGAAGAGGGAGGTGAGGAGGGGGCTTCGCTGGGAAATACCAGAGTTAGAGAGAGAGGGGGGGGGAGAGACGGCGAAGGGTTTTGTTTAGGGAGTGAAGGACTAAAAGAAAGATGGGCGGGCAGAAATAGAAATCAATAGTTTGTTTGAGAGAGAGAGATGGAGAGAAGTAAGAAAGCAGTAGAGTACTGTGCCACATAGTCGATACACATGAAGTGTTGTTGGGAGCTGGCGATAAGTTTGACTAAAAGAAAGGGTAAGGGGTACAGACATGATGGTTGTTTTGTTGAATAGTGTGTGTGTGTGTGTGTGTGTGTGTGTGTGTGTGTGTGTGTGTGTGTGAGTGAGTGTGTGAGATCCCGAGTACTTCACTCCTCTATGCATATTTAATACGTCTGGGTCAGGACCCCTTATAGCTCTGCATTCATTATTAAAGCCAGTTTGTGTAAAGAACCACCGCTCTGGTGAAACACAAGACTTCTGTTGCATAAACTGTGATTTCCACCAGCACAACAACTACTGCTACTTGAACAACAACAGAGTAGCCTTGCTCGAGGCAATCTGCATCTCTGCTGACATCAAGTTTCCGTCAGTGTCCGTCTGCACCATTAACTCTCTGCAATGCTTCAAATCTATTGATGGAGATGGATACAGTACATGACCGTACGGTTTGACCCCTGGATGGATGTTTTGTGCCGACTGTGTCGTACAGAATTTGATGACTCTGTTTTGATTGTTGAATCACTCTTTCTGTTTTTTAAAAGTAATTCAAAGTAGCTACAATCAATATTCATTCAAATCTGCGGTGCTCCTCAGCTCTACAGAGCGTTTTAGCGTCTTTCAGCTCATTGTTTGGATCTTACGGCCTCGCTTCTTTGCTGGTAAACTTATTCTCATACAATGGTTTCTAAAAATATTTTGTTATTTTTCGCTTTCCTTATGAATTTCCAGCAAAACGAGTGAACGGTGTGCCCCACCAGTGCTTAAGCAACAAAACTACTTTGTTAGGTTTATCAGATCGTGGTTTTGGTTAAGACAAGTTCGGAAGTGGCGTGGCCACTCCAACCCATTGGCTTACGATTACATGGAATTAAACACAAATTGATTTTGTGAGTACTTTTCGGAGGTAAACCTACGAACAGTGCAGGAGAACAGCCTGTACTGTTTTGGTTCACTCTTGCGGATCTCACTGCATTGATTTCGGGCCACACCAGGGAGCGCTTTACAGTGAAAAGAGTCTGACATCCACACAGAGCCTGAAAAGTACAACAAAAGATACCTGACAGAGCTGCAGAGACATCTCGTCTTGCTAATCTGCACCCTCCGCATCATCACACATAGACATAGTTATTATGTGATACATATTTTCTTTCATATATAATAATTAAAAAGCCTTATATCCCAATTTTGTTTAGCTTGTAACAAACATGAATGTGGTAAAAATCTAAAAAAGTTGGAATTTGAACAATGGCGCTCATCAAAAATCATCCAATTTACAAGCTGAGAATAGACAGTTGAATAAAAGGCGAGACAAAGGTTGACTTGCTCTTTGACGAGTTGCCATAATTACTGGTGAAGAGCTCCACGTTCTGTGATTAGACTATTCTTACACAATGTGCTTGTGACATTGGGCTCTTCTCAAAGTCACTTTCTGCCTCGTGGCGGGATTCACTCGCTCATTTGCCAGGGTTTTCAGGCTGCCTTTTCAAGAAGAGAGATGTTGAAATGAGAATCTCCAGGCTGCAAATTAATGATATGTCTCTTTTAAGAGATTTCCTGCCTCTGTTTGCTGTCACATCAGGAGCCCCATTAGACTTTAATCACCCCTCCTGAGCGGAAACTGCCAACATGCATCTAGATCTGGGCAACGTGTGTCCGATTTTGGAAGGGCATACCTCAGCATTAGACCACCTTCACATGAAAAAGGTTCAGTGCTGGAAGGGGAAAGGGCCGTTCAGGCAAATCATATCTTTTAAACAACCATGGAGAGACCTGAGGTTGGAAAGAACAAAATAGAGGGAAATTGTTAACGTTGTGGGAGATGCTTGACTGGTTTTCAAGCCCTTTACACAGAGAAAAATTAAACGGATGCAAAATGCTGAAGCCATCCTGGGGCTGAGGCTTGAATGACACTAATGGTCACCCACAGTGTAATTGCCAACATGCTCTAGCTTTAGACAGTAGATAAAATACAGCATGCCAAAAAGTGAAAAGAAACATGCACACGTAGGAAGATGACATTTACATGATGCCATTGTCAAATTTTACTCATCAGTGGTTTTATTGTTTAGTTCCAAATTAGGTGCGTTTAATGTTCTGTAACTTGGTGTAAACTCGACCCTGCTAATAAAACGGACACGAAGCGCACGCTGCTGAATGTCCCGCTGTGGGACAACTGAAACGGGACGAATAGTATGAGAGGAGTTGTAGAGATGGAGAGCCAAGCGTAGTGTTTGTGCGTGAGTGGAACAAAACACATCCCTAAATGAGGCTCGTCGTTCTGCACACAGTGTCTTTCATATGAAAGGTTTCATACATCGTTTAGTCTTTGGTCCTCGGCTGCTTCCACAGCTCCTCCGTGACTAGAGATGTGGCAGTGCCCCCCAGTGTTTAAGGTGGAAAGTGAGTCATTTCAAAATGAGTCAAATGGTGTGAACACGTCTTGTGATCGTGTCTTATTTGAGTCTGTGTTGCACGTTTCTATTAGTACCTGATATTAAAGCAGAATGCCATGTTTGGTACATGTTTTCTCAATATCCCCATTTTGTAATTGCTCCATATGCCTGTATCCTGTTTCAACAATGTTTTAATTTGATGTAATTTTTTAGGGGGACCACTGTATGCAACAAATCTCCGGGACTACAGGTAAAAAGAAATGGCCACTAGGCTAAATCTGGTGCGCTAACTGCAGTGTTTATTTATTCATATTTGTCATGCCTGGCTCTTTTGAATAATCCAACAATTAAATATTCATTATGCATTCTTAATTTTGCTTGAGTGTGCAAATGTCTGTGTAAAAACGTGCACTATATGTGTATCAATATATGTACATCTGCCGTGTCTGTAATGCTTTGATAGAACATTATAGTTATGTGACATACGATACGGTACAGTACGACGCGATGCAATACGCTGCGATATGCAATATACTTTATTGTCCCCACAGGGAGATTTATCACCTGACTCCGGGTGATCGAATGCCTGAAAGTGTATTATTATGCTTTTTCATAGAACCTGTCGGCTGTATGGACTCTTGGGCAGTGTGCATTCTGTAGTAGTATTTTTCTTTTTTTTTTCAGAATTAAATACCTGAGTTAAGCAACAGGAACAGATATCCAACAAAAGACTCCAACCTTTCTCGTATAATTTCCACAGAGCCCCGCTGCATTAGGCTGTCAGTGTTCTGCCCGGGTGTCCGCCTGTAGCTGCACTCAGGGCTGTCTGGCACTCTGGTTCTATAATCGCTACCATTACTTTAAATGGTGTTTTTTTTTTTTTATTCTCACCTCATGGGAAGAGCTTTTCTTTTTTCCAAGAAAACCAAATCCCAATGTATACAATGCCATTGGTACATAAAGCACTCCACCCATAATATCAATCATCGCTGTCATTTAACGCTGTTGACAGTGGAGCGCAAACAGACTGTGCTTTACATTTTGTATAGTACTAGTTTACAGTTTATATGGAGCTGGGTGCAAAACAGACTGCAGCTTTATCAGATATCTTAACTTTTAGCCATGTTAGCGGTGTGGCTTTGGCGATGACTATATCGGTCGACCCAGACTGCAATACTTTATAGCTCTACTGGATGGATTGCCATACAATTATGTACAGAAATACATGGTCCCCATCTCCACCCCCAAATCAGTGTTACATCTACCTGATGGATTAGCATAACATGTTGCAATGGAAATTCCTGGTTCCCAGAAGATGAATCCTAATTATCTTGGTGATCCCCTGACTTTTCCTTTAGCGCCACGAGCTTCACATTTGCGCTTTTGAGTGAAATATCTCGGCAGCTATCGGACGGATTGCCATGAAATGTGATACAGACATTCATTACATTACATTTGGCAGACGCGTTTGTCGAAAGAGCGTTAGAGCTTAGGGCTTCTTGAAACTTGTGTCTGGATGTTAAAGTCTCCGATACGAATGAGTGCAGAGCGATTGTCAGGGAAGTGTGAGAGGAGTGAGTGGAGTGTTGGTGATCTCGTACATTTTTAAGTAGTTTGGTTTATGACCTTACCTGCAAAACATTCACATCTGCCTCAGCTGTAATTTGTGTTTACTACTATTAAATATTAGCATTCAAAACCTGCTAAACTAAGCTGCTATACATCTAATGGAGTCTTACAGAGCCGCTTGAGTCGCTGTACAATCCTAGTCTTGTTTTTCTTTTTTGAAATTCAGAATTTATTTCATGGGACAGAACTTTTCCTTTCAAAAAATTAAATAAACTAAAATAAATGATTTTGTTTTCTGACGCAGCAGCAATGAGACAATGTATTTTACAATAAGGAGCATTACAGCAGGTGTAGTCACAGTCTTACTGCCTATGATACTTTCACACAACGGTGACACTTTCAAAGAAATCTCTATTAAAAAAAATGGCCAAACAAGACTCATATTTCCAAGAGTACACTCAAGTAGAACTTGTTTTTGAACACAGAGACTGTTTGACTCCAGTTACCCATTGTGCTGTACAACACAACACAATAAGCAAAGAGGCGATAGCAGCATAATGCTTATTGTGCATTTAGACACGTAGTCGCGAGTCAACAGAGAGCAATGTGAACACGCATGCACGGTCACTCCAGAGATAAAATTCTGCTTCGTTCACACAGAATTTCTTGCAGAGCCAGCAGTCCGAGTCATGTATTTCATACAGTTTATCTGCAGACAAACTACATAATCATTTCTTATGCTTCTCTGAGAATATAGAAATAAACCAAATTAAATAAATAAATACTAGTACTGCATGCATATTTAGAATGTCAGAATGAAACAAATGAAACAATTAAGGTATGCTAATAAGCAAAATGGGTACAATATACTCACATATTTACATGACTGTAATTTAAATGAACATGATACACAATCTCACTGTATTGTAGACGTCCAGTGGATTATGATCCCTTTATTTAGAGTGATCATCTGTGAGATTTTCCTTTTAATATCAATGCTTTTTGCTCTCCTATATAATCCGATATGTGTGGCTCACAGAGAGGTCTTTGATGTTGATTGGGTTTTTATTAGCCGTAGAGGCAATCACTCACCGTGACAGTTTGATTTCTTTCTCTTTTTTTTCAAAGATGTCTTTTTTGCTATAGTTAAAGCAGTATTATATGATTATATGCTGTGAACACAATATTGACATATTACACGCGTAGTTTAAAGTTGTTGCGGCTAATCTTTTAGCAATTATTTCCACATCCAGCTGACACAGATTAACATCAGCATGCATTTGGAGCATAGACTACATAAGAAGTGGACATAGGCATTAGGCGCAGTGTCGTCACCCATTGGTTTGTGGACTCATGTTTTGGCCGTCACCATCTTGTTTTTTTAAACGAGAGTGTGTGGTACAACCGACCAACATTATTTAGCGCACCAAAAAGGTTACAATAACTTTCACGAAGTGAAAACACGCTGTGAAAGGGTTAAAGTCATGAGACGTATATACACGGACAACGCTGTGGTAGCGACTTGTCAATCACAAGGTAGCCCCGCCCTAAAGCGTATCAAGCTTTATTGTTGATTTTTCTCTAAATGGGACAGAAATGTATAAAATGAACATCAAGTAGCAAAACAATGAGCTCAAAGAGACTAAAAGGTTGATATAAAATGAAAAATATCGATAGTGCAGCTTTAAAGACCTCATTTTCTGTATGATTTTTTCCTAGAAAGACTTAACTTACAATTTAGAAGTTTTCATAACCATACATCAGGTTTTTGTTTTTCTGTTTAGCACCAGAAAAAACAAAACAAAAAATGTAATACATTTACGTTTTTATTAAAACTGCCCCAGTCAGATTTGTTTGTCATATTTTCGAAATAACCTTTAACAATCTTAGCAACAAGTCCATCCAATTTTTTTTGGATTATGTAACATTTAAGATATCTGATATTTCATCCCTGACTTGGCTGCTAATGCAAACAGGCAACAGCCAAACACTCACAGACGATACACATAAAAGAAAAACGTATAAAACATTTTTGCTGTCCGTACTCCATCGTGTTGGTCAGCATGGCCTTTCTGCTGCCTTTTGTGCCAAAGCAAGCAATGGGTGCGTCTTCAGCCAACATGTGATGTATGGCTGTAATCCATTTAATACGGGACCACACGGATCTACCTTGTAATCTACCAATGCTCTTTTTCTTTTTCATTGCCTTTACCTCAGATGCCTTTCCATTCTACTGTAAGCCGTGTAAACTTGAGCCAATGCATCAGGAAGCCACTACACCCTTGGGCTTAACAATTCCATGTTTACTTTCTGTCAGTTGCACTCTTTTAAGTGTGCATGATGTAAAGCCCTGGTTTATGCTGCATCATTAGCAGTCTGAGGGGAATGTGTAATATCTAAGAGTTAGCAACGGAGCTGGGTCTTTAAAAGGAGGGAGAGGAAAGCACCAACCCACTTGCACCTTCTGAAGACTCGGGGCAGGTATGCCTCTTTACTGTCTTTCCTAAACGTTGTTTTTAATATCTTTCCATTATTTGATGATACGATTGGATTGATTATATTGTATCATATTTTTTATATCTTTTTGATCGATCAAATTTCTTGAAAATAAGAATCCAATTACTCTGGAATATTTTGCCAGACTATCATATAAAATGTCGTTTGTTTTTAATCTTCTTTTTTGTTCAGGAAAATGTTTGCATTCCTGATTTGCATCTTGACTCTGCAGCAAGTGCATTCTGCCTGCAGTGTGGTGAGTAGAAGTATTGACACAAGGTAGTTGTGATACAACACATTATGCAGTCGGAGTGTTTTTCATAGGCTGGAAAGTATGTTTACTTGAGTACAGTTTTGGTTTTAAGAGATTTTAGTACATTTTAGACGTTTTGTGTATTAATGTTGCTTCATTGAGTTCTCTGCAGAATAAGGTTTCACATGAAAACTAAATGGTGAGCCAATAAAACTTGATCCATTGATAGAGTCCAGTCTTGGCCTGGGCAATTAGAATAATATTCAATAATTAATGATTTGACCTTCTTCTAATATCAATATATATATTTTATAGTCTGAAAATTCCAATATTATTGATTTGGTCACACTGGACTGGCTCACACAAATGATCTCACTCATGGTTTTGTGTTTAGACAACACTAACATTCACAATATTATAGAAGAAAATGCCACTATTCCAAATATAGATATCACATAGCCAACAGTGTGTGAAGCAGGAATAACCTCTGTAACACTGTGAAAGAACCTTGTTTTACGATTAGTAGTTTTGCTTTTTTTTTCTTAACTTTGAAGTAAATATAAAATACATTGTGGTGCAAATACTTCTTGAAAATAGTAAAGACTTCCTTACTCCCCCGATGTCCTGACAAGAACTTAACTTCAATTTCTTCTCCTTTTCAAACGTTTCTGCGTGCCATGGTGTGTCCACAGCAAGGTAAGTACAATGTTAACTGCATCTGCCGTGTTTGACTTTACAGACAGACACACGTTTTTTTTTTAGGCATCAACTTGTGAAACCAAGCCAATAAGTCTCCCGATAAGATTAAGGGATTTGGTACAATCCTCTCTGTAAGTTCTTCTGTTATGTCAAACCATTTCAGAGCAATTAAACCAGGTTTGTGAGTCATGGCGAATACATATTAAGCCGCCAGAGTAAATATCAGGCTATTTTATAACTTTAATATGTTGTTTACCCAGTGGTTTTAAGTGTGGGTGTCTCTGTGTGTGTGTGTCTGTGTGTGTGTGTGTCTGTGTGTGTGTGTGTGTAGACATTTCTCCAGAAAACGCATCGGTTCAGACTGAGATCGTTGACGTTCACAATGCATTCCGGAGAGAGGTTCAGCCTACTGCTTCTGACATGCTGTTAATGGTTCGTCCTGCTTTCTACTTGCACAATAAAAGTGGCTCGGGTAATATTTACTTAAAATTAAATACATTTTAAGTGGGTGCGGTCTTCTGCACGACGCCTGAAAATCATAAAGTGTTGAAATGTGAAAATACATTTTGACTATATGGTCTGTCATAGATAAATATAATCACTCTTAAATGTCATTTTTATGTTCATTACAGTTGAGTAATGTTAACATCTTCTAATCTAATCCGGAGCCAAACCCGACCACTACAAAAGCATTGCACACAGATGGAAATCTTTCAGTCAACAGGAGAATAAAGATGTCTCGTTTCCTTTTCAAACGAGTTGGGTGTTTCTGGAGGTGTAAGGTTCCTGCCCAAAAGAAGAAGAAAAAAATAATAAAAAGTCTCATGTTTATATTGGAGCTGAGTGTTGGCTCTGGGCTGTATGAAAAGCACAGCAGCTGGTCTCAAAGGAGAAGCCTGTTTCAACAACCTTTTTCATATTCTAAGATTTAGAGTGGAAAATATTTTGAAATTTCTTCAGTCTTTCAAATCGCAAATGATCCCATTTTCAAAACCAATATCTTAGCGAGAGAACAGATCTGTTTCTGCATTCTGGTTGTGGGTGTTTTGAAATGAAACGCTTGATTTGTTACATTGTTTTTTCCTCTTTTACAGAGCTACAGTGAGGAGGTAGCAGCCAGTGCTCAGGCCTGGGTCGACAAATGTATTCTGGCTCACGGAGCACCCAGCAGCCGCATGCTCAATGGTATATTTCTTCTTCCTTTACTCTTCCTCTTACTTCTTTGTTTCCTTTTAACCTTGCTCCACAAATGCCAGCGCCTTAGATAATACATCAGAGGTGCATTCGGTGTAAAGGTTCCCTGTGAACTGAGTGACCTCGTGATTGATTGTCAGAGTCACTGGGAACATTATCTTATCTCCAGTCTTAATACCTTCTTTGAACAACAAATTACACGGAGTAGGATGTGTAATCATTAAGGAGATTATCATCAATAGGCCTATTAATGAACCCTGTTTTATCTAAAAGAAAATAATCTACTGAGACATGGAAATAACACTGTGTGTTTGCAGAAACTCATTAATCGTGCTGCCATGTGTTTCTCCCCAACGAGCAGGATATGAACTGGGTGAGAATCTGTTCTATTCGTCTTCACCGTACTCATGGACGGACGTCATCAACACCTGGCACGGCGAGGCGTCACACTACCTGTATCCCAATGGCTCCAGCACTGGCCAAACGGTTGGTCACTACACGCAGGTAACATTTAGCTAAACAACGTATGTGGCAACAGCAGTAATGACAACATACAGTAATGTTGCTGTGTTATTGGACGGTTACTTTTAATTCATCCATATTTATATATTCAATTCTATTTTAACAATGGATCAAATGTAATGCAATAGTCTTTTGGTGTCTTTGAGCTCACTGTTTTGGTTTGTTGGCCCACAACTTCCCTGTTTTGGTTCACTCTCACTGATCTCATGGAGTCCATTTCCGTCCCAGCAGACAGCTGTTTTCAGTGAAACAGCTCTGAGACAACATAAAGCATTTAGCAGCTAAAGATCTAGACATTAAATAAACTGTTTGCTTACAAGTAGTTAGACTAATAAATATAGGACCAATAGTCATGATGGGTGAGAGACTGTTTCTGTGGATTCTAGCTCTCAAAATGCTCCTAAATATTCATTTCATGGTGGATTATCTGAACAAAATGAGTGTGACAAATACTGCTTTCACCAAAGGATTTCATATCATTTTTTTTTTTAATTGGAGAGATGGCATATTTCAAAAAGCATTATTGAAACATCATAAACAGTCAATATTGCGATTGTAAGAAGATAGATTTGTCTTTTAGCAGAGAAAGATGGGCAGTGTTTTGATACATTTTCACACTTTCACTACAAATAAACCTACACAGCAATTTCCATTTCAAAACTGATATGAAAAAATAGTTTAAAAGAAAAAAACAAAACATAAATGAGTCATGGCAGTGTTTGAACAAGCAATATGCATTACTATTAAAGTAAAGTATTAAAGTTTAAGTTTTGTTTTTATCTTTGTTGTCAGGTGGTGTGGAACAGCTCCTACAGAGTTGGCTGTGGGATGACTTTGTGCCCTAACAACATCTATTTCTATACCTGCCATTATTACCGAGCGTAAGTGACCCTCATTCACCCTACATATGACTTTGTTGTATCATTTCTGGGAGAGCTTGACGTTGGTGAGGGTTCAAAATGAATAGTAAGAGTGTCTATTTATATATCTGTATATTTAACCAGAGGTTAGTTCTGAGTCAGGTGAAGTTGTGTTCAAAAAACGGAGAAGTTTCTAATTTGTTTAACAGAGGAAACTTCAGGGGGTGGCTACCTTACAAGGCGGGACCCCCGTGTGCTTCCTGTCCCAATAACTGTGAAGACAAACTGTGCAGTAAGTAACGGATGTTATGAGGTTCTTTTTACGGCAAATAGATCAATTGTCTCCTGAGGTAGAAAGAAAGACGATGAGCTGACCTCTCCAATGTTTCATTTCAGCCAACCCCTGTCCTTACATAAACAAATACCTCAACTGTCCAGCCTTGAAAGACACGACTGGATGCAGCAATTATCTGGTGTCTGCTTGGTGTCCTGCTTCATGCAAATGCACCACTCAAATCATTCCAATAGCCTAAAGAGAAGCCACTGAGTCTGCAAAGTGTAATTAAACAGTTCAGACTTTTTACATCTTTGTTGGTTCTCTGTCTATGAAGCAAGCTACTGCAACTGTAATCAATTTCCTGTGAGCTTATATTAATATAACAATGACGCAAGCAGAAAAATGTGGCTTACTACTGATTGCCTTAAGTTTTAGTGGATGTTTAGGGAGTGTTTTTATATATCAATCTCTAATCAAAACCCCATGGGACAGAGTTTTGTGATGTGTTGTATTCTATACTTAGGGGGACTCATCCAACTCAATGTTATTAGTTACAGAAATGTGTAAGCAAAAGCAGGAAATATGGTTTTACTGTTAATTCACCTAAGCCCAACATAATATGAATCAAAAATGTTCATTCTACACATAATCATACAATACAGATGATGTTGAAAATCAAAGTGCTGTTATTTTGTTATGGTTGATAAGAATTAAACATTTAAATGCTTTAGTTTTGTTTCAATTTGATGTCATTCTTCCCTCCATAGAACATGAATGTGATAACGTCATGTGGCCATTTTGGTTTTATTACATAAACAGTCAGAGCGCAAGTGTTTCATTAGTAACTTTTTCTTCATACTCGTATACTAGGTGTCACTTCACATATACAATACGGTGGCTCCAAAGTCCCTTCATTATCTACAAGTATCTGCTATGTAAACTGCCTGGTGCTGGATCTTCTACATCGTTATTATATCCGTATGTATGGTGAAGCTTGGGGAAAAACTAAAAACAGAATATTTACCGTGGTTGGGGACAACACTGAACAAATTATCAGGTTTGTCAGATCGCACCTGACTGTGGCTCACAGTGTCACCGCCTTCTAACGCCACCACCTAAGAAAATAGACATATTTGCATGAATATACATAAGCAACAAGCTGAATGAATTTTAACCACCAGAGGAGGCACCTGATGCTCATCTTTGCTTCAGTGTGTAAATGTTACAGGGTCCTACTGTGGGCTGCTGTCATCCGGATCCAAAATAATCCCTCAATCATCACTGTCCCATTAGAAGTGTGTGGCGGTGTCTATCGACAGAGACCCTGCCCTCTGCCTGTGTTGTCTTTTTCTTCTTCTTATTTTGCTGAGTTAGTGAAGATTCTGGGCGTCAGCAAGGAGCCTTTGGGCCTCACGTGGTTGTGTCAACCCGAGCCAAGAACAGAGCACATGGTGTGCAGCCCGTTCTAATTCCCGAGGTTAGCACATTCTGACAAACCCACAGATAATTATTAATACCAGACTCAGCAGTTTCTCTGAGCTCTACAGAGCTATTTAATGTCTTTAATTGTTTTGGTTGGCCACCGTACGCTACCTGCCCAGCACCAAACGGCAAAGAAAGTAAGGGGGTAACTTAGTAAACTTAGTGGCACATACAGCAGCTAAAGAGACAGATACTTTCCTCGAGAGTTGGTAGGAGGAAACACGGCTCCAAATGAATACTAATGTTTCCCCAGATCTGCTGGATGTGTAAATAGGCAATTATTTGGTAACATGATTGTACATACTGATAAAATAAACATGAATGATGCATAATGAATAGAAGTGGGTTGATTGTTGTGACAGCATTGCACCTTTTTCCTGTCAAGACCGCCATGTAATATTCTTTCAATATCAACTTTCCATACACAAACAACCTAGTATAACCCTACATCAGAGGTCCCAAGCCTGAGGGTCGGGACCTCCACCAGGGTTTGCACGAAATATCTGAGGGCTTGCAAGAAGAATTGCTGGTTTTAAGGGCCAAAAGGCTGGACGCCACTGGTCTGTACAGATCGGCTAGAAACATACACTGATTAGCAGTGTATTGTCAAATACCGTCTCCACTGTACAATAACCTAAAACAACCAATAACCCTTGTAGACCAGCAGATGGCTCTGTTGTACAGCTCACCATACCTCCTGCTTCTGAATCCCAGTGTAGTTTATCTGAACCAGTGGCCGATGAATAAAATGCATTAAATCATGTAGAACAATGTTATGCCTCATCACTTACTCTCTGTGTCTCTTATACAAGAGGCTATAAGCCATGTGATCTAAATGTTAGGCAGTGACTGTGACTGATATTTTAAAGCTCCTGATCATCTCCAAGAAAGATTTTTTTTTGGTCACATATAGGCTGCTGTGGAGGTTTCATTAGAAGAGCAGAAAATGCTGTTTTTCAGTGAAGACTGTTGTTACATCACCGTTAAGATTAGTTCACGGTCTCCGTGCACTGTCCACGTAAAGAGGAAGACCTGAAACACAATGTGACTGGAAACAGAAAAAAAGAAGTCACGTGTGCCTTTCTGTCTGTCCTTTAGGGATGTCAAATATAGCTTCTGAATCAACAGCATGGATATTATTCATACAGAAAATAAGAAGCACTACAGACACCCTGAGGCAGCACAAGTTATAAAGCCTTTATTTAGTCAGGTAAATACTATTACCAGCCTGATTCAGACCCAGTGAGGTTGACATTTCAACCCAGTAAAGGTGTTTGGTATAGCCTTGCTTCTTATTATATACAGTGTGTGTGTGTGTGTATATATATATATACATATATATGTTTGTGTATATATACATATATATATATGGTTTTGTGTATTTTAAAGTCCAGCCTCGGGACATGCATTGAAAACTATCTGTTGTAGTATTGCTCCACATGCTATAACTATCCTACTTGTTTCTACATGCAAAATACATGCAACAATACAAAAGACGTCTATTTAGTGACCAAAATGAAAGACTTTAAAGTCCTTTTCTATGAGTATACAGGTTTATTTGTTCTGCAGGAATGTAAAAGGAGGCGTTTCTAGCCTGTCAGTGAAAAAAAGAATAAGGTTTGATTGACCGTTTGTAGATGTACTTCTACGAGAGACACTTAATGGCAAGTTATTTTATTTAACTCAAATGGCTGAAAAGAAAACTACTGTCTGTCGCGAATAACTGACGTTGGAAGACATGTTTTGCTCTTTTTTTTGCTAACCAGGCTATCAACTATGGAAGCCCATTTCCACCAGCAAAAAAAATTAAAAATCACAAAAATAAATGAATAATAATATATATTTATTTTTAATTTACAAAAATAAAATACAAGAAAAAAAGAAACTATGAGATAGAAAGTAAAAATGATAAGATACTTTAACACAACAGGCATAGAAGCAGCTCTTCATAGGTCACCCTACATTTGAAGTATGTATTGTAAGTACATTGAAGACTTCTTTAAACGTGGCTTTACAACACATGAAATACTTCACTTTATGGATTGTACTCAGCAAACGCACCCTGCAAAGGATTTTAAGCAAGAAGGTGGCAACCTTCATTGAACAGCAACTGGAAACATCTGGTCAGTGTCATGGTTACAGAAGGATGCAGCAAAAGTGTTGGTGCATTTTATTTTTGTAATTTCTTTTGTTTTTGTTTTTAAATTACAAAAAAAAGAGAAACTTTACTTTTTTTTTTTTGTTATTGGCGGAAATGGGCTTCCGTAAACAACCGGGGCTGTATTGACTGGACTTTGCGTTGTGCTGGTTAGCTCACTAGCTCGGCTCAGTGCACAGCAGCACACACACAACACGGTCGTCGGCTTTTCTCTGTTGCAGCAACAACTTAGGAAGGAAGAGACCGAGTCCTTTCCATGGAGAAACAAGTCCGCTCAAAAGGCAAGTACACACAAAGCCACCGCGCGTTACCGTCAGCTGGGCGTCGAGTTTTAAGGGAGAGTTGAATGAACTGATAACTAAAACACGCTTTTATTATTATTCAACTTATAACGTCACCGACTGCTGTCTAACAGAAGAGGGTGGGTTTACTACGGTGAAGATCCGCTCTTAACTGCTGCTCAACGCTCCTCCAGTGTGGCTCTACGGCGTGAAATAGCGGCTACTATCAACGTGTTAAATGCTGCTATAATGTCACATTGTGCCTGGTTATGCTAATCGCCCGTGGTTTGTCTTTGCAGAGCAGCGCGGTGCACGGAGCCCCCTCTGACTGTTGGAAGCTGACCGATATGTGCACCGAGAGATGAGATGATATGGCAGAATTGCGTGCAAATGTTACAACGAGGCAATAATAGGCGAAGGCAGGAAATTGGAGGAAAGCTGAAAACATAAGGCTTTGCTACACCAGCAGCTTGTGTGTGTGTGTGTGTGTGTGTGTGTGTGTGTGTGCTCGAAAGTGCCTATGGCGGAGTTTGAGGAGGACGGCAGCCGCCTGCCTCCATTGAATCTTGGGGATACGGCCGTGCACGGCGACGGAGACGCTGGCAAGACGCATTGCGAAGTGTCGGTCTCGAATGGAGACTGTGGGATATCGGACAATATGGTCGGTTCGGGATCCTTCGTCGCACCTGGCAGCCAAGCCGGGGTGGACACCGCCAACACCTCTGTTGGATCGGATGCCAAATGTGAAATACCACGCAGGAGCAGCATTATCAAGGTAAACATGGGAAGTTCCAGTCTCGTTGTTTGTGCCATTCGTTCTGCACATCTACCCTAGAACGCAGGCTGTTAGAAGTTACAACGCACAACCCCTGCTTTCATTTAATTACTCTCTTTTATGCACATCTTCTGCCTCCTCTTCACTAATCTCGCCGGTGCCATGTCAGTGAAATAGGTGGTGTTTTCCTCACTACAGGCCGGTAAGGGGATCACCAGAAGCACATCCTGTACTTTGTCTGATGATGATTTTCTGCATGGGATTTGTGTAGCAGTGCTTCTCCTGTTTTATTATCTTGAATGTCAGCAGTCTAGCTACATGTGAACGGCTGTGGACACAGGGTGAGATAGGAGGATCTTTATTGCTCCCAAAAGGGGAACATGTATTTGCAATAGCAGGGAAGTACCGGCACAAAGCAGTGAAAGAGGCACGACAGAAAAATAGTATATCCGCAACTCTTGCATGCGATTAAAAAGCATGTGGGTGAAGGTACTAAGTTCATTATACCAATAATATAGAGGCTAAAACAGATATGTTTAATGCATATTTGAATATTATAATAAAGCTTGCACATGGATGAAAGTGGGCCGACGTTAATACGGTAATGTTTTCTTAGGGAGCAGCAAAGACCGGCAACTAACACGCAATTAAATATTGCACTTCAGAGCGAATGAGAGGGAGTGTCCATAAAGTGAACAGCAGCAGCTCAGACTGTGCAGTACAGCAGCACATCATGTAGAACGGTAGTAACAGTGATGCAGGGCTCCTGAGTGTCTTGTATGTTGACCTCACACTCGATGGGGTCTGCCTTAACATTGAGAAAGTGCAGCTTACAGTTGGCATAATACGAATATAGTACTGAGTAACACAATAAGATATCTCATATTGACGTAAAAGAAACATCGGTGATCAGAGAAAATCCTTAACCTGCTCCAGGTGCTGGTCCTGGATGCTCTTATGACGTGTACATGTCTTAGAAAGATGTGCAAATAACAAACATACCTGTTAACAGATTCATATTTTTAAACTATTTGATGTTAGACTCTTTGTAATTCTGACTTTCAGTCTGAAGCGTTGCAATTTACTGTACTTGTCTCCAGAGTATGGCCGTTGTGAGTATTGCTTAACCAAGATGATGACACTTCCTCTCATTGCAGTAATCGGCACTATGTTGAAAGTCTTCAAAAACTTTGACTACGTTAACCTGCACACTAACGTTCCACTCTTATTCCCAATATGACAATATTCTGAATTTCTTTGTGGGTCAGGTAGAAAGCATTATTCTGAATTATGTGTTATTCTGAATGTAGCTTTTTCCATGTAAGACGTGTGGAATATGCTGATAATATTTGGGTTTTAGGAGCATTAGGCCTCTTGCCCGTGCAGAAGTTATACACAAACCGACTACCAACAGTTCGCAGAGATGCACGCCTCAAAGAAAAGCTCACGTTTCTGGTCGGAAGGAGAAACACAGCTACTTTTAAACATTATGAGAGACTTGGATATCTACGGATTGTTGGATGTGCGCACTTATCGGTAACCTTTCTAAGAAGGTGGTTGAAGGAATGAAAGAAGGAGGCTTTGTTCAAACGGTCGAAAAACACGGCTGCATGTCAACGTGAATATTCATTTTTATTAGCCATGTAAACAGCTTAGTAGGAATATTGTCTTTTTCGGAATAAATGCAAAACCTGGAATATTTGTAGTTAACGTCACAGACGCTGTAATGTCCGTCTTGCCTCTGCTGCTGTCACAATGTCCGCTATGAAGCTCTGAAGGAGTAAGTTGAACATGGTGACGGGTTGTTAAACTGAACAAAGGATTCATTATAACACTATTCTTCACAATAACTGTACTCTACCCGTAGAGAGTATTACCTTATCATATACATTGTGAGGTGCCCCTCTAGGGCCCGCTGGATTTAAAATGCATGACCTGTGTAAGGAATTTGTTGAGATGCACTTTTCAAATGTCAGTGTCTGGTGTGTCCTGAGTGGATTTGGTTTAATCGTCCACTACCATGTGCATAATCGATACCATTATTGGGTCTATGATTTGATGCTTCCAGTGAGATTTCTCTGCTTTGGGAACGTTCTCTGGCAGTGGACGGAGTTCCGCTGCTCATCGTTTCTCGGGGAGTGTTTTTACAGGCAACACATTCTTCGACACATTGTGGATGTTGAGCTCGGACTCTGCCTGGAGATTGATGGGGGTGATATTGACATTTCTGCTTTGTAAAGTCCCGAGTAATCTCTCGCCTCACAAGGACCTGTCTCAGTGCGCAGGCCGTTTCTGTGATGGGTCCACTCCTGTGAGCTACAGGCTCTGTCCAAACACGTGGAAGTCTATTTGAATAAGAGGTTTTTGAAGGGATTCAACTCATAACCTGTTTTAAAAGAAGATACGGAGAAATTCTTCTTTATATAACTCTGCTTGGAAAACCTGTGATTGCTGACCTTGTTAAGATGAATGCCCTTGTCCAATTTGGGCTGCTCCATTATGGAAAAATCATATTCTCGATAATCCAATCAATATGGAGATCACGATTGTTGAACATGAGTACTCGGTGACTTTGAAAACATCTTGCATGTAGAAGAACATTTTGTACATTTTAAGGTAAAATGCATCAATCTGGTGCACTTCAGGAGCAGAGTTAAAAAGGCTAGATCTGTGAAGAACTCTGTGCTCTTGTAAACATTTCTTTGCTCTTGCAAACTATTTTGTGCCCAAGTGCAGAGATTTCCAAAGTGTTTGAGTTTCAGGGGAGGCTCAGTGAATGGAAATGAAAAAACATGTTATTATAGTTATAGTTATCAAAAGAAAATCACATAGAATAGCCAAAATATGTGCGATCTAGAAGAAGAGGTAATTCAGATACAGTAGTTTTTCCCACTTTCCCTGAGTCAGAAACCAATACATTCCTGAGGAAAGATGTTTTTAATATATTTAGTCTGAAGTTATGTCAGACAGCAGTGTTGGGCAATATTGGGTGTCTATGGGATCAAATAACATAATCATGATCCAGGAATTGAGCAAAAGTAAACTTAAGTCTGGCACCTTTTTCCAATCTTTGTCTTGAAGGGAGGCATTCTTCACTCTTCTAGTGAAGAATTTAATCAAAGGTGCATTGTTTGTAAGATATAAAGAAAGTCACACCCTCAAAGCACGGTAGATGATACTAGGTCCGTGTTTCAAGACCGGTGTGGTGGGTTGCCGAAAACGCCACCAACCCGCTCGCTGGTCGGTCAGCCCACAGGGAGAGAGGCCTGGCGAGTCCACGGCCCGTTGTCGCAGCTCGGCTCTCAGACTCGAGTGAAAGAGCACACATGATTGTCCAGTGCCAGGGTATCCAGGCGCCTTTCTTGCTACTAATTAAAATGCTCATTCACACACACACACACACACACACACACACACCGATGGGACAGTGTTCGTGAGCTAATCGGGGTTTCGTGTCTTGCACAAGGACACTTCAACAGCTGGAGGAGCCAGGGATCAAACCACCAATCTTTGACTAGCGGATGACCCGCTCTACCTCTTAAACCACAGCTGCCTCAATGGTGATCACGGTGGTGATGATGATGATGCTTGAAGCCACAATGGATGTCATGTTAAGTTAACATTAAGAGACCATGGGCTGTTACCAAGGTTTGGGTTGATCAACATAGAAACAACATCAAACATAATAAAGTCATGTAATACTACTCGCACACCAACAAACTAAAAAGAGTTACACCGCCATGTTACATAAACTCTTTATTAATATTGTGAGGCAGAGAACAGTCATGTGAAAATATGTAAGTAGCATGTTCAGTAAAATGTGTTTTTTGATGGAGAAAGAACAAATATGTCATGAATCACATTTCATACTTGAGTGAAGGCAAATCTTAGAATGTCCAATGGGGAATGCAGTACGCCGTGGCCTCGTCTGCATGCCAATATTCTCTTGAAGGTGTTTTTGACAGCTGAGACTGATCGAGTATCGCAGACGGTGCTGATGAAGGGTTGCACCGCTGTTAACAAGGCGGCCTGTTTCACACTGTCGGGCAGAGCCTTTCGGTTCTTGTTAAACTGCTTCGCCGAAGAGACGGGAGGATGTGGTCGAGACAACGGCAACCATAGTCTCATAGTAACAGCTATGATACCGAGTGCTCAACATGAACCTGACTTCTGTTCAGCATATGTGGTGGTGAGGGTGTGTAGTAATCAGTGTGGTTAGGCCTTCGAGCTAATGGCACATCTAAGCTGCCATGTTGAGCTATTTTCCTTTCAAAATGTGTACGTGCACTGTTGGTGGGGAAGAAAAGTGAAGCTTGCAGTCTTTGGTTGACAAAATAGCACCTTTGCAGATCTTTTAATTTGATGGTAGCTCAATGCTGAACTTAAAGTGATACTCCACCCAAAATATACAGTCACCCTCCCACTCATCCATCCAGTGGTGGCAAGTGAGACGTCTCTCTTAACGCTCTCACTGTCAGTAGATTTCAAACTGTAAAAGATAGAGATATCAACAGATACTCTGTCGCCCACCCCAATGAAACGCAGAAGTTCCTTTTCTTTTCGCAGCATGAATTATACAATATAAAAGGGTCTTCTGTTGCTGGAGCGGTTGGATAATTATTTATAGATGTTTGGATTCTTTGGAAACCCATTTTAACCCGACTGATATGTTTTCAAGTTGACCACAATTTATGACCACATCCTCTCTATGAAATATGAAACTACCCCCTTCAAACCGCCATCTTTGCTTGATAGTCAAAAGATAGATTTTGGACGGAGAACTACTTTAAGACAACCATGTTTCCTGAAATCAAATAGTCTGCTTGTTTGTTAGTTAGCGGAATTTTCAAAAAAAGTTGAATGGAAAAATAATTGACTCCATAACTGTACATTACTATTATCAGGGAATGTATGGTTGGTTACAGCCCTGCCAGAGGTATGCAGACTTTAACTGCTTTGCCTTGAATTATAACTTTTCATACACTTGAAATATCAAATCA